AATTATCAAATAAAAAGCCAACTGACACAAACTACAGTATACTGATTGTGAGTTTTGTTGAATCAAACAATGTCAAATTTCTGGTCTTATTTGGAAACCCTGACCTGGAATCTTGATGTTTCCCCCAATAGAAAGGGGCACTATGAGTATATTAAAAAATACTACCCTCAATAGATAGCTATGTCCTGCTTGTGTTGGTACTAGCCACATTGATGTTTGAGAAAGAAGAAATTTTCAAATTAGAACCAGATACTGGCCATTAAAAATGCAAACATCTATCAAAAACCACAACCTTGCCTTCGAACTTGTCCCTTTTTTAAAAGGAAATAAGTGTGTAAAGGCTTCTCAGATCTTCTGCAACTTGATGGTGGCCAAAGACAAATTGGACCCACTTGCATGAAGTGGCAACACCATGCCAAGCAATCATCCATCACACATCTACCTGCACTACTGAAATATGCTGTAACAAGTTGTGGAAGGACCCTGGGATGGTGAATTAGGTAAGTGGGGCATTTCTTCAAACATGACAAATTTCAAAATCTACATGCATGGCTTTATGTACACAATCCATGCAGACATTCCCGACCCCATTATGGAAAAAATATTGCATAATTTGGTCATGTTGCAAAGGGTTGCCTCAGCCACAATCAGATCCGAAACCCCAGGTCTGGAATCAAAAATTATTCAACAGCAAAGATAAAAAGGTAGGGTGTTTGTCCAGTGAATGCCACCCATCCTTTACATTTCACTAGATACACAACAAGCCTTTTTCTTTAGCAACTTGTGATGAAGGTTGCAGCAAGATGAGAACAAGACTTGCTAGGATATTGAGAAAGATTCCCCTAAGATACAACAAAGCAAAAAATTCACTTGAAAATAGCTACTTAAAAAAAAGACCATTTCAGAGGCATATGTGACAATCTTAAGATTGCTTTTACCTGAGCTTGAGAATCAAGATCTATGTTTCATCAGCTGACATCATTGAAAAATCATCAGATGGAAATACATCTACTTCCTTCAAACATTAATCTTAAAGAAAAGAATACCCCTGCTTATGTTGCTGCTCAGAACATTGGTGGAAAGACCATATGCTCATCCTTGAAAGTGAGGGAAGGTACAAAGAAATATTGATTTTTCAAACAATGCACATAAGACTGAGCTACAAAAATCAATGCCATTATAATAAATTGGTGGAGAATTGGAGGTATAAATATTACGCAACGATTTCGTCAATATCAACAAAAGGTGGTCAATAAAGTAAAAAGCAATGGATTAACATGGAAAGATTCTTACGAAATTTTGTAAGTATTTTGAGGTGCTACAAGAAGTAAAATCACGCTCTTATTAAATTTATTATCATTTACAATCATACCTCAGAGCCTTATCATCGATCATTATTCTTGCCCATCCGTGCCCTTATCCGGACTTTACCGAAATCGAATGGTATACAATAACTATAGAGAAACCATTCATGATAGAACAACCTATAATACCATCTTCGATATCCAATTCACTTCAAGAAGCGACAAGAAAACATCTAATGCATGAAGATAGCTATATTTACGCAGATAGATCAATATTAGGTAGAGCCGCAGCTTCTACGTTTAACGATTTGTAAGTTGATTTCTACTTAGCTTCAGGGAGAAGATCAAATGACTAATACTAATTATAAACATTTTATATTGTAATAAATCTTAACATACTTTAGACGCAATATCCCTCCACTTGCTCCGTCCAAAATGTCCGAGGATTTACATTGCTGCAATCTGTTGTACCCCCACGTGCGTCCCATATTTAATCAACTATTCAAAGATTATGATATTCAACTTAACCGTGCCGTAAAAGGAACCAGAAAAAGACCCGATTTCTCGTGTTTAGTCGACAAAATACCGGTTCTTGTTTCCGAATTTAAACCTCTAGGATGTACACCGCTTCAAAAAAAGAGAGATTTTGTGAGAGTGCACTTAAGGGCCAAGAAATCATTAAATCAACAATTGAATTTAAAAGGTGGTCCCGGTGAAGTGATGCTATTTACAAATATGGGTATACAATATATATAAGATGAACTGTTGGCTTTTTCATCTATATCTGTTTGCTAAATTTGACACATGTATATTATCTAGGTGACGTAATTAGTTCATTTTCTATGGATCTCAGCAAGGGACTATGTTGTTCATGGTCTTTCCATACGACTAAGTTGACAATTGACAGGGCTCAATACCATTGGTAGAATCTACATTTTCTCACTTCGTCGCATTAGAGGTATACATTGTTTCAATTGGCATGATGAATCTTTCATTTTGAGACTTACAACAATTTTTGCATTTACAGAAGCGAGTTAATAATCTAGCCAAAGATTTTAAAAGACGCAAACAACCATTCACGCCACCCGGACAAATGAAATTCATGAGCGAATTTCCCGATTCTCCACAAATTAAGCGGTTGCTTGGATGATCATGAAAATAAAACAAATATCTATCTTGACTAGACGATCAAAAAACAATAGTAAAATTTTTAGAATGGTTTTTTACAGCATAAATACTATGTTTAATACTTATTTAAAAAAGATTATTATGAGACTTGCAGAATCCTTACATCTTTATAAATTTTTTATAAATTTTAATTACTAATAAATAAATAAATAAATATATATATTGATCTATATGCTGTATAATCTCAAAAATTTAATTTTCAATAAAATGTGATAAGGAATGAAAACAAACTTGTTCGCCTGAAAACAAAATTTTCAAATGAATGAAGCTATTTTCGTTATTTTCTATGGCATGGCATTTCTTTGTTGAGAACATATTTTACTATACATATAAAAAGTGTGATGACTTTTGTTGTATATAATTACCTAATTAAATTGTTTTTAATAAATAGCCTTTTGAATATCATAAGTTGTTATGAATCTCAAACATTAATTTCATTTTTTGTTTTCTGTCAGGTGTAGCAAAAAAAAACTAAAGTACTTCAAAAAAAATTTAACCAACTCGCTAATGATAAAAATACTGGAAAAATTTGAAAATATTTGATAAAAGGCTAGGTTGAATCCAAACTTTTCATTTGGAATTCGTAAGTTATGTAGAGAAGGGAAAGGAGTTGCCGCTTCTGCCGCAAAAAAAATTTCTGCTAATGTAAAACCAATCCGAGAAAGAAAACAGTAGATGTGATTCAAGAATGGGTCAATAAAGAAAAAAATAAAGGAATGAGAGATAATAGTGAAGAAAAAAATGGATGATGACAAAAAGATATTCAATTAGATAATAAAAAAATGGCCGTAGAACTTTTAACAAAAATATTTAATTATGTTGAAAGTAATAATTATAAACACTATATTCATGCATTCTAGTCAATAAAAAAGACGCATTCTAAACTTATGGAAAGATCCATTTTCTTCTATTGGAAGTACCAAAATATTGATTAGTGGTTTCTTAGTAAAAGATGACGAGGATTTCTTAACAAAAATAATTTTAAATTATTGGAGAAATCACCATTATTATACAATTTACAACTGGATTGGATTTTTAAGGAATTAAATTGTAATTTAAATAGGCTTTTTATAAATGGTAAATGTGGAATTCATTGCTTAGAAAGAAGTTTATTTTACTTCTATTCGTATGAATCATTAATAATAGATTAATGTTTTCTCCAAAACCTTCATGAATTAAATTATGAATTTAACTATAACCCAATAAAACGTTTCTGATAATTGTGGCTTGCTTGATAAATTATCAAATTCTAGTAGAAATATTCAAGTTTTAAAAAAATAAGATATAAAGGTTGTTCAGATAGCAATAAGGTTGTTCATAATCTAAGCTCAACTTATAAAAGCACAACATCAAATACTATTAATGTGTATGGAATTTTAAATTTATCAGATGATTTCATGAAAGCAATTTCTATTCAATAATTTATTATAAAAGTAATGGAAAAATTCTTAATAATGTTAAACAATCGTTTCTTTTTTGATGATAGCACAATCGTAAATTAGATTGATAGCTATTTATTATTATTTAAATTAATGGGAAAATCTCAAATTTTGATAATGTTGAAGATTTGGAAGAATTAATTAGACAAAATTGTAAAAATCCTAGAATATTTGGATGTAATATTACTATAACAAGTAAAATTTGTTATGCTAAATCGGAATCACCCTATTAGCTGACTGACGAAAAGAAAACCCCATTGCTGCTGCTGCGCCAGCGAGATTTTCCTGCCACAATCATGTGCAGCAGTGGGGTCAATTTAAGTCCCCTCACTCCTACCCCACCTAAAAATTTCAGGCCTTTCTTCCCATTCTCGTTCATGTACAGAAATATGTTCCTTATGTTTCGGGCAGCATTAACATCATGATTCCAGAGGGTCTGGCACATGTGTCTACATGTCCAGAGCGTCCAAAACTGTTGAGGTTTACTAAATATCCCTTCACACTTGGAACATATTCTGCTAGTTCTAAATTCATTAATAATTTTTACTCTACATCTTTTCCTTAACTCCCACAT